TAAAGTATTAACCACGTTTTCTCGAAAAATAAAATGCACATTAACCATTATAACAATTTATTAAAACACATTTTCTTCATAGCAATAGTATAAGTGATTTATTAATTAAATAAGCCGTTGTCCAATTATACTAATTTAATAGTGTACCTATATATACAGGGTGACTGGTTAATTATGCCCCAGTCGATATTATAAAAAATGAAATACTTTTTTAAATTATTCTTTTTCATAGTTAATACTGTTCACTGTACAAAAGTACGGTGAAAACCTAAGAAAATACCATGGACCGTTTCCGTTTTCCGCTTCTAGACTAAACAAGATTTTTAGATTCTGTTTTTACTAATTAAACTATTAGGTTACTTATAGTTGTATATATTTTATGTCAAATATTACCAACACAATTTAGCACTACCGTGACTTGGAGTAGTTAACACAACTAATATTTAATCAAATACAGTTTAAACCAGTATAGTAAAAAATAGCTTATCAATTCAAGATGGTTATATTTAATTAAAATATGATTAAATCACTGTCGAACGCTTCCAAGGAATTTACTTTTTTGGCTTTTAATACCTCTCTCAGGTCCTCGTGAAGCGTATGTGTATATTTGTCTATTATTACTATGAGCTAAGCCAAGTCGGCTAAGGATAATTTATATTTTTAATCATCAGAAAACGAGATAGGTAACATTTTTAAAAAGTTTTAATGATTTGAGTATAACATTTACAATATAATATTTTTAATGCAGATCCATTTCTAAATTTTCGACCGATACGTTTAAAAAAACATAGCTTTGCAGACGCTTTATTTCCAATAAACAGTATATGGTCATTAAAAGATAGTTTGGAATCAAAATTTACCCCGGGATCGTGTACTGTAGATACTCTTAGTAAATTTGTACTACCTAAAGAATAATTAAACTGTATAGGTGGTTTTATTAAGGAGAATTAATATAGGAATATTTTTATACATTTAAGTGCATAGCGTTTTGTTGACACCATTTATATATCATTTTTAAATCTATTTGTAGTTCAACAGCACCATTTAAATAACTAATATTTTTGAAAATGTTTGCATCATCGGTTAATAATAGAATTTTAGAATGAGAAATAACATCAGATATATTATTTATGAAAAGACAAAATAGGAGATAAATGATCCCCTTGGGGAACACCAGAGGTAGCGAGGATTTTTCAGAGACATAGTTTTTGTATTTTACAGTTTGAGTACGTCCAGAAATGAAAGAATAAAGCTAAGAAAGAAGCGTCTCAGCAAATCCATACATTTTAAGTTTATTAATTAATAGTTTATGATTTGTCCTATCAAAGGCCTTTATATATTATATGTATATATATAGATGACATCAGTTTGTGATTGGTTTTTAAATGAATCCAGAATTGCTTGTTTAAATATGCATAATAGTATTGTTGATTAATTTTGAGAACAGTTTAGGTATTATCGACAATTTCGATATGAGACGATAATTGTTTGTTAAACATTTATTGCCTTTTTTGAAAATTGGGGTTATAAATGAGGATTTCCATTGTTCTGGAAAAAATACCAGATGACAGTGATTTGTTAAATAGAAAAGTAATAGCTGGAGTGAGGATAAATGCCCATTTTTTAAAAAATATTGGGGAAATTTCATCAGGGCCAATTGCTGTTTTACAACTAAAAATCTAAACTTCATTGAAAACATCTTTTTGTTTAAATTCAATTTTATTGACGGCTCCGATATTGTTTTCTTTTAACTTGACCTGTGGGCAAATTATATCATCTAAGACATATGTTTTAGAGAAGTGTTCTTCAAATAAGCTTACAATATCGTTACCATTGTTAATTTGTTTATCTAGGTATGACATTGCGTTGGGTAGTTTGTGCTTATTTTTATTATTTTAGTTTACAAATTTCCGAAATAATTTAGGATTTGCTTTAACCGCATTGTGTGAGTTTTCTATGTACAACGAATAATCTCGATGTCTTAAGTGTTTATATTTCGCACTTATATTAGACAATTTCAGATAATTATTAATGTTATTTGAGTGTTTAAAAATATTATGAGCTATTTTTTTTTTTGTTTTTTATGAGTTTTTAGTTCCTTACTAAACCATTTGAGATATTCGGATTCACGAATTTGAATCTTAGGAATAAAATGATCCATAATAAAACGAATGAGATTATAAAATGAATCCAAACAACTTTCGATGCTATTTTTATTAAAATAATCTATAAATTTAATATTACCTAAGTATTTCACAATAGAAATGTAATCACCTACATTCCAATTATATGTATATACATGACAAGGTAGTTAAGGAAAAGCTATACGATTACTGTAAACTATTTATTTAGCAAATTGTGTTATTTAATTTACACAAAAGTTCACTAAATGTATTAAAAATTATCTTAAAATACAATACCTACGCTAAACTAATTAATTTGCAATTTGGTTGACTTATATGATTTTGAATACATTAAGTGGACTTTCAAACAGTGTTGAGATTTATCTTAATTAAAATATTGTTATTATTTTACGTTTATTTAGATATCTAGACCATTTTTAAGTTGTTATCATATCCCAACACAGTTTGCTATTCCTATTACTAAAATGACAAATTTAATGACGTTAGCTTAGCCGACGCTAAAATAACTTTTCAGATATTATTTAAATATAATAATTTATTCAGTTCTTACAATATGTAGTTTCTACTTAAATACTAACTTCCACCAAGTTTACAAACGTATAATTTATTAGGTTATGGGCCCAGCCACACAGTCTCAGGCACAACCGTGAAGCATCAAAAACCTAAGTATTTGAAGTGATCAAAGTTCACTTATTTCAATTGTTCAGTGAGTACTACATTTTAGTACATTATCTGTTAACTATCGACGAGTAACTAAAAATTACAAAGCTAAGTTACTCAGAAGGCTGGATACTTTGGATATTTTAAATGAAGTTACTAATTAATTCATTTGAATTTGGCAGTATAATTACAGGAGATTATAAGAAGCCAATATATATACAAGAGAAATCTCCGAGTCAGAAGAGGACGCGAAAGGTTACAAGAAGAAAAGGTTACAGGTTAAACGAATAGCGTGGTCAAGGGCTGATAATAAATGTCAAAAACTAATCGTCACTTCATTGGAAAGTGGACCGTTACAATATTTGCTAATTTGTAGAACAGCATATGATACAATGTGGAACAAATTACTAAGTATCTACGAGCAAAGATCTGAAGCAGGTATACACTTATTACAAAATAAATTGTTCAGTTATGTGAAAGAGCCTTCAGATGACATTTCGACGCATATCAGCAAATTTTAGAACTCGCTTTATCAGGAGAGAAAATCTCTGACAATATGTTGCCAACTAAAATTCTTGTGACTTTACCGCCATCTTATAAACATTTTTACAGTGCACGGGATAGTGTACCTCAAGCATGTAAAAACGTAAATGAACTTACATCTCGGTTGTTAATTAAAGAATCGAGAATGTCTCAAGGAAGTTCAGAGGTTGAAGTAGAAGAATACAATGCTTTAACTGTCAAACGTTTCCAAAAGAAATTTTTTTAAGAAGAAGGGTGGTAATGGTGTTAAACGTAATTTTAGTAGTAATAACACTAACAGGGTAGGCCCTTGTTTTTGGTGCAAGAAATTAGAACATACATCAAAAAGGACTGCAGGAAGTACAAGAAGAATCAGGGTGAGCCGAAATCGGATTCGCCAAGTACAAGTTCAACAGGTCAAGCGTTCTATTGCGAATCTTTGGTTAATGAACGCAAAGAGAACCGTTGGTATTTGGATTCAGGAGCTACAGAACACATGACAAACAACAAAGAGTGGTTTGTGAATTATAAAAAATCAGGTCGTCATTGAAAATAAGGATTGGCGATGGTACCAAGTCACAGGCAGAATGTTCGGGTAATATAAACATAACATGTTATATGTCAACAAAATCAATGGTAGTAAATCGACCTCGATCGACCAAAAAATCGATTGTTTTTCGGTGAAATATTTTCGTATTCGATACATTTGTACAAACAAGAAAAATTACAACAACAACTACAAAAAGCACTAAAAAAATTTCGTTTTAAAGGAAAATGAATAGATTTTCAATTCAAAACTACGCGTCGATAAAATATCTGTTTTCATCTCATATTGCAAAGGGAGAAACATTTACAAAAATACCGGCTATAGCCTATAGTATACGGTTTTGATAGTAAAAAACGAAATCCAAGAACTCGAGAAATAAAAAAAAATTATAAAAAGTATGGTTCATTGTAGAAAAAACCATATCTTACAAATACAATAATGTTGTTTAACAAAAAAATGTTACTGTAAAAATGTAATCAATACAGTCTATTAAACAATAATGGCCTTTGGAATGTTTGAGAACTTTTATTATATATTTATTAACGAATTTTTAAGTACGTAGAAATAGAATTTTATGTCCGCATCACGCATTCTTCAATTCAATTACTTTTTATTTTTGATCTCAAAGATAGCTAGACTTGGTACCATGGATTATAGCAACATTACATTAAGACATATTGAGGTGGCTCGACACCGTGGGCGGCGTAGCCGGGTACCCCCCTAGGAACCGCTATGCACTGACTTACCGTCGACGGTATATTATTTACCTAGTCATAATATAATGTACGTCATTCGAATTTCAATACCGTTAGAGTTGTTTTAAATTTCAATATTTGTAACCGTTGAAACAGTTTTTGTTAAACCATAATACAATTTTTAATAAATACTATTCCATCCAATAAAATATATTTTTTATTTAAGTGTATTGCGTAGAAAAACATAGTCCAACCTCCGCTTTCTATGTATTGTTTGTACACAATAAATCGCAAAAAAATCCTAACCTAACCTAACCGATAATGTAAATAAATAAACAGAATATTTACAATGCAAAAAAAAAATTGGATTGTGATTTTTCGGTCGACATAAAAGCCCATACACAATTCGCAAGCAGTACATTTAGTTTCAAAAGCTGGCCCAGTCGATTGTTGTTCAAGAGTCTCTTACCAATTTCCACAAGTAAGTATTTCTATAAAACTCTAAAACAATTTATTAATGGTAAAAAAGCATGAGCCTTAAGAGTCAAAAGTTATAGTGTTAAAAAAAGTAATAAGGATTTTTTATTGCTCGTTATTTTTTTATTGATTCTTAATCATTGTTTTATACAATCCACATTTTCGAAAGAATTTTATTGTAAATTTTGGTTTTGTTCGATATTTGGCTTGAAGTGTACTAAATGAAACTTCACAAAAGTAGATTTCATAGAGTGTACAACCAAGATTTAAAAATAATTTAAAGAAATATTTGGTCAGCCACAAGTCAAAAATGCAATATTCAGCAAAATTATTAAGACTTTCCATTATAACTCAATAATTTTCAACAACACAAAGATGAAAAAATTAGCTCTGTAATGAACTAAATTCATATGCGTGCACAATTTTAATTTTTAAACATTATTTTTTCCAATCGACAAAAAAAATGTCTAAATTTAAAGCATGTAAAAATAAGTTTTTTTTTTCTTTGACTTGATTTTTAAAAAAACATTAGTCATTTTCCAATTGTAAAAACAATTCATTATAAAACAACAAAAAAATATTTTTTTATTTTTGACGATTTTAAAACAAAACCCTAGAAACAAATTTGTACACGATTTTTAGAAATAAATTTATACCCTCCAAAAACAAGATTTTATTTATGAGTATCATAACTCATAGATTTTCCATCATAGGAAAATCTAAATCATTTGGCTAAATATTCCTTTTTTGACTTGGACGAAATATTTTTGTACTTTATTATCAAGACACAACTTTTGTGATCTAATATGAAAACGATTATACAAAAACGATCTACAAAAGTAGATCTTTTTGCGTATTCAACCAAGATACAAATTTAAATATCTGTTAAAAAAATAATGTTTTGTCCGGCCCAAGTCAAAGAAGCAAAATGATTAAGAAATTCCATTGTACTATAACAGTTTTTACTAATATTTAAAACTTTTTATTACCTCTCCGTCCCCTGGTCGCTTTGATTCCATTATGCCTATACTCTACTGTACTAGTCCTCTCGGATAAAATCACTTTTAAATTAACGCTTTGATGCTTATTTGTAAATACAACACCTCAATTTAATACTTTCTAACTTTGCTGGTTTATACTGTGCTTGGTTTAGACTGTACCGGCTTGAAAATACTAACTACCGATTTTCATCGAATTTTAATAACAACATTAAGTTATATAGTAATTTTTCTAATTTCTATTTTGAATAGTGTAACCTAACTTTTTCATACAATGCAACTGAAATTGTTAACAGACCTGTTTTTTTTTGTCTATTCTCAATATGGTGAAATAACTGTAATTTTGGCCAAATCAAGTACCTTTCGAGGTAGATTTCTACATTTCTTTACATAAAAATCAGTTTAACGGTCTAGGAAATATTGTGGATGTGATAAAAAATATATATGTATTATCATATTGTAACTGTTTTACAAAATCATACCTAACCTAACCTTCTCATATCAGCACAAAGAGCAACTATGACTAATATAAAATGTTTTTTTATTTGTTATTATTCACAGATAACAATGAAACTCTTCAGTTTATTAATATCTTTTCTATTCCTTGCGGGTGTTTTGGCAGATGATCGTAATTATTTTTTTTTTTACAGTTATCAACTGAAGGTAGTTAAAATTTGAAAAAATTAATTATATTTAACTTTTTACAGAGTTATATATGGATTTGGTTTTGACTACAAGTCAGTAATAATTTTATATTATAAACAAATGATTTTTAAGTTTTTAAAATCCGCTGTTTTTATATACATTTTTTGAATTATGTATCTCAGCTTCAGTCATCAAAGATCTTTATTTTGATTCATTAACTGGAATGAGTAAGATATTTTATTTATAACAATATACTAATATATATAGAAGCTTTTTTATATGTATCTAACTGTCAAGTTATAATTAAATACAAATTTTAGTTTTTATTAATAGTTATGAAAGGTGTACCAGATTATATGTAGAACAGTGTACAGAGGAATATAGTGTAATATACATTAGCGATTTTTAATAATCTAATCGAGGGAGAAGAGTGAACTTAAATGGCTACTGCTCAAAGTCGGGTTTAATATTATTCTAAACATTTGTATTGTACCTAATTTGATTTGATTTTATTATTTAGTATTTAGTATAGCCTAAATCTTCATTTGTTTATTTTAGGTGGTTTGGAGAATGCTATTGAGAAAATGGTTGATGCTTCCATCGATACTGAAAATGTTTTATTTGATTTCTGTAATCACATTTATAATAATAATACAAAACATCAAGGCAAGAGTAGAAAAAATTATTTGAAAATAATAATATTAAAACTGCATCTCACGTTTATCTTTATGCAAATGACGAGTGTTATAATTGTTATATTTTTCATCGAAATCTAAATAGTAGCTTACATTATAAACCATTACATTTCTTGAGGGTTCCCTAGTATATTTAATAAAATTTTTTTTCTACTTTGACCTTCGTCTTCTAAATTATAATTGTATAATGTAATAATTGATTATCGAAAATCAAATCCAATATCGTTAATTTATGTAATGTGAATTTCAGGTACTACTAATTTTCTTATGGCTGTACCGGGTAATAGTTTTTGTTAAATTTTATGAAAATATTTCCAATATTTCATTCCTATTGAATTTTCCAAATAGTCACTTATCGTATTGAATATACAGTGGAGTATATTTCTTTCGAGATTTTAATAAACTTGTTTTTTGTTCCTTGAAATTTGTCTTCCTGTTCATAATAAAAAAGAAAATGAAATATAAAATCATTGGTTTATGTGTTGTTTATTTCAGACGAAACAGATATTTTATCCAATACAGCGGGTAATAATTTTCATCGCATTTTATAGAAGCGTTTTTGCACAGTTGTTTGATATTCTTTATGTATACACGATTTTTGTTTTATTTCAAGCTTTCTCAATAAGAGAGGAACCAGCGAAAGGTAAAAATCCCTTTTTATAATTATTATTTCTAAATACTTTGAGAATAATCTTATGTACCTATTGACAAATACCTATATTACATATCGGTTTCATTCATAAAAAATATGTAGGTACATTAAGATGTATTTTGTTTTAAATTTGAGAAGCCAATTATTTTCTCTATGTTATGCAACAGTTGTTTGATATTCTTTATGCAAACAAGATTTCTGTTTTAGATCCAGAAAAAGTAAATGCTGAGTACGAAATCACTCAAGACTTAACGGAAAGTAAAAGCCCCTTTTAATATTTAATATTTATTATTTACAAATACTTTGAGACTAATCATATGTACCTATTGACAAAATATACCAATATGACACACGGTTTCAATCATAAAAAATATGTAAGTATATTGTAATGTATTTTGTTTTAAATTTTAGAGGCCATTTTCTTTTTCTATTTGATGACATATTTCATAGATTACATAAGAGGTAAATATAAAAAAAATAAATGAGTAAAATATGTTTGTAGTTTTAAAGAAAAACTGGATTAATAATATCAAGTCACCAAGCTATACATGCTTTATTGTTAAGCTTTTAAGAATCATTCGAAATAAAATTTAAACATAGGTGTATGATACAAATTTAAATTTATACAATACTATTTTGCGTTAAATAATATTGATTTAATTAACCTCAGTTATAGAGTGAATGTTATGTATAAAATATATTAACCGGGTTTTATAAACTGCATAACGATTTGATGTTTAATGTGTTTGTTACAGGATCTAGTAATGATTTGACTTATACTACTGGTAATTACCATTTGTTTGATTTTCATAAATAGCCTTAAAATCTTGTTTTACAGTTGAAAATTCAACTTCATTTAATTTGTTTAATTTTTTATGTCAGATAACGATTTTAATAAATTCAACTTTCTGTTGAGTTTGACTTACAGTGTTTATGTGTATTAAATTCTTAGGGACTTCAATAGAAAAAATACATTTGTTGAGTTTCAACACAAATAAGTGGTTGTACAAAAAGTTATTTATACCACAATTCGTTGTATTGTAATGCAATAATTATGTATAAAGAGCGACTAATACTTTTTATTATACTTTTTATTATTTCTTCGCAACACGGCCATTTAATAATTCATTTTATAGATCATGGAACATTGAAAGACATTGCAAACGAGAGAAGAGACCATGTTGCTTCAGCTTTAAATGGTATAATCGGACGTCGTATAATAGGTAAATTTTATTTTGGATTTGTATGGTTTATGAACGCTATTAATATATATATATATATTTAAGTTATTTAATAGGAACAAGTATACAACTGATTTTAATTTTTAACTATTAACCAAATCAATTAAAACTACTAACACGTACTTTTATTTTATACAAATATCATGGCAATACAATACGGACACTAAATGCTTAGTGTATTACTTTTATATGTCTTCGTATTAACAAATAAAATAGTTTTGTCCTGCACCATAACGAAAAGTAGTAAACTAGTAAACTAATATTAGCATTTTAAAAAAAATATATTTTCAATATTTTTAATAGATACTGTGGGAGATGAAGATGATGTGGCCTCTTTAACACTGAAGTGTTATTATCTAGGAATATACTTGAGTACCCAATCTCCAGAATTATACATAAAAGAAGTTAATATTGACTCAACTAGCCTTACATGTATCTTTATTGATAAAAATAATAACCAAAAGAGATACGGGAAAATCGATGCCACATGGTCAGAAATAAACTCGGATGACCAACCAGGAGAATCACTTGTGCAACTGTTACAACGTGGATATCCACAAAATCCACCCACACGGGCCACACCCTAACTTAATGTTTGAAAAAAACAGGCATCTATATTCTTCTATATTATTATATAATAACTATATTAGGTATTTACCATATTATTGTCACTTTTTCATTATAATATCTAAAATATATACATATAGATAAGCTGACGGAAAAAACTGTTGGTGGATTTTTTCAATAACGTATTCCACATTACCCATTTTTAAGTACATAATATTGTATGCCTATTTCTGTTTTGCGCCATGTCTACCAATATAAAAAATAATTACCGAATAAGTAAAGTTGTATTTTTTTATCTAATCTATTCCAACTCTTTATTACTGCTTCTAATTCCTTTCCTTATATGTCTACTTTTTATAAATGATTGTGCAAATTTGGGTGACAGGTTCATCGTTTGTGTTTCTAATAGATAATTCATCCTAATGGTTATTGTACAGCGATTGGATGTTAGAGGTATTATTACCTGAATTTAATTCTAATGTTGAGTGGCTAAGTAAAACAGTGTAGAATATATTATTTATATTGTATAGCCAGTTGTGGAAAAAAATCCTCGGTAGTCAACCACAATGGTATTGGATTGGCTTAATTATGATTGAAATAAGAACAATGCAGGGTACGAAAACTAATCCTACATAATATTTTGAATCGAAAAGAATGTCTATTTCAAATTATTTCAATTTTCCCAACGCATTATTGTGTGCTAAATTCCCATGTGTTTGTGTGGATGTGTATTGATTTGGTATAGTGTTTTTTAGTCGGCTACTAGTCATATTTTGTTACTTACATCGCTATGAAACTAAAAAAATAAGACACTATACACATTGAAAATGTATTGTGTTTTTGCATACAGTAAATTCAAGGGCTTTTACGTCCAACTCATTGGAAAATAATCCAAAAACTCATTGGATAAATAATGTACTAGCGCATTTCATACAACGAAAGTTCAATGTATAATAAAAAATCTAACACATTTTCAATTGGAAACCCAAATTTGGGCCTTTGGTTAAAGAATTCTGAACACGTTGAAAAAAAAGTCGTTCTACTCGTTAAAATTGATCTAAATCCAAATAAAAACAAATATTATTAAATGTATCATGAACATCCAGTGATAAAAAAAAGAAATCTGGTCGATAATTTTGAGAAATAGGCTGAAGGAAAAACTATAAGAATATCGTTAGTAATAGAAATTATTAATATTTTATTTTTCTTTAAGTCTTAAAATATAATTTTTTCTATACAATTATTATAAAACTATATCCGAAGAACAACTGATAGTTGTTATACAATGTACAATGTACATACAAATGTACATGACCGTGGTAAAAAAGAAATGAATAATTCACATATATTTAAACCTTTCATTAGTACTTACCCACTATTGTTATCACTTCTAAGACATATTATGTTATAATAAGAGTGACTATGACGCCTTTAAAATAAAATATGTTAAATTAAAAAAATTTTAATCAGAAAGTCAATTAAGATCAGCTGAAGCCATTTATTTTCATTGCATAATTAGTATTTTCTTATATTTATTTTTATCATTTTCTTCACAAATTATCAAATAATAAATATCTGGAAAATCAATAGCGCAATAGATTCTAAAACAAAAAGACTAATCTAATAGAATAAAAACATTGTTCAATACTTCCTAGTTTAACGATAAATTTATTTTCGCTTCTAAATCCTTTCATTATTGTTCTACCTTTATTAAAAGACTGTGCAAGTTTGGATTGTATGTTCATCATTTATACTTCTAATAGATAGATCATCTTAACGGTTATCATATAGAGATTTTATGTTAGAGGTAACGTAACCTAAATGAAGTTCTAATGTTAAACAGTGTAGAATAAATATGATTTATTGTTACTTATTATACACCCAAAACCTGACATACTTGCGCCAACTCTGGATGGTTCGACTTCAATTATATATTTAATATTTGAGTTATCGGCCACTTTCTAGGTTAATGTAGAAATCTATTTCATAATTTTAAATAAATATTTTTTACATAATATATCTAACTCGTTTAAGCTAATATTTGTGATGGAGTCCGAGAGTACTATTAAAACAAAACAAAATGCAAGTGTAAAGAATAAATTTCATCGAAATTCTAAATGAAAAATATCAATATTGGTCTATGATGTTATAAACTATACATACTAGTCGACGAAAGGATTTGATTTATAACAAAAAATGAGGTTTTTTTTGTATGTTGTATCACAATATTTGTATAATCCATATTATTATCCAAACATTTATATTAATTAATAAATATACCATGAGAGATGGAATGTATTCTGTAAGTCTTTTAATATATTTTTTTCTATACATTTATAAAACTAAATTCGGAACACTGACAATTGTCCTAAAATTTAAATTACTAAAGTAAAAAATAAATGGCTTATGGACCCAAAATATAATAGTAATCATGTTCGTTTAAGCGTTAGAGACTTCAAACAATATAACAAGGTCAATTTAATAAAGATGTTGTTTTTGTTATCGAGTTGTTTGTTATTTAGTACATTGGTGTATGACTGTAACTGTTTGAACAAGCAAACAAAACAACACTAAAATATAAGTTAGTTTTCTTCTTATTTTAATAAATAACACAATTTAAAACGTGTTTTCAATACGTTTCCGTTTAAGAATGTGAATATAAAAATAAGATAGTAACATTATTCATGGCCGGATGTAGACATTTGTAGGTGCCATAAGACCAATAACTGTAGGAATATGAATAAAAATAAAATACAACGCAGTAAAAATAGTTTTTTTTTTTATTATATAAATAATAAATTTGTATATTATATACGTATTCAAAATGTAATTAATGATTATTAAACTAATTTTCTGTAATTCTGCCTAAAGGTATACATACAACACATTGGTTCCTATATCGAATGTGTTTATTATAATATGTGCACATGATTGTCATGGAGCTTTTTTTTTTGTGTATTTCTATGTGAGTACATCGGTGTTTTCATACCGATACGAATTTAAGGTAAATAAGACGGAAAAAAAATATTACTAACCGACTGTTGTTGATCGTTTTTTAATATCGCATTTCATACAATGAAAATTCAGAGCATAAAATAAAACCTAACACATGATGGTTTGGAAACCCAAATTTGGGCCTCTGGTTAAAGAAATCTGTACACGTTAGAAAATAATCGTTCTGCTCGTTCAAAACATTTCCCAAAAAACAAACCCAGTACAGTTAGGTCGAGGCATAGTGGACAGGGGAAAGGTATACAGGAATTATTATAACTGAAAGTGGTAAAATAATTTTTAAATAAACGATTCAATGCGAATCTGTGGACTATCGGTTCAGTCTAAACTAAGCACAGAATAAATATATTATATAAATGAGTGAGTAGTAGCAAGTAGTGGTGGTATGCGAGCAAGTAAGAGAGGTTCACAGATAAAAATACAAATATCGAGAAAAGCATTGTACCTAATGGCAATTATTTGGTTAAAAATTAATTTTTAGCAAATGCGATTTGTTGCGAATTTATTTTACTAACATTAATATATTTTTACGTTTATTTAGAAAACGGCCCAGTTACATATTTTATTTAGGTTTTGATGGACTATGCCCTTTTTACAAGATCTTAATAACTATTGTAATATTAACAACACGAGTATAAAGCTGTAGGTGTATAAACTTATTAATTACCTTATCACGGTGACAACAAATAATATTATAATAATTTTATGAATTCTAAAGCCTTAAATTGTTAAATATGTTACGAGAAAGTACACAAAAATCTAACTAGGTTGATATCTTATTGGCCAAAACTAAAGCTCTTGAAAATAATGTATTGTTTCCACTATTGGTATTATACTTAGGAATTACGGAAAGATCTAAGTTCCTTGTGTTTCTATATGGGACGCGAAACCGAATTTCGGATAGTAGGTCAGGGCAGTCGACTAGGTTGTTTAAAATATCATAAACTAACATAATATCTGCTATTTGACGTCTTGTATTAAGTGAGTCTATGCACAAAAAGTTTTCAACGACATTAACAGTGTCTCTAGTGATATAAGAAATTCTTTTTAAAAATTTGTATTGGACATTATCAAGTGCGTTTATATATTTTGAATAATTACAGGACCAAATAAGTGAACCAAATTCAACGTTAGATCTTACTAATGACGTATAAAGGGTTTTTAAACAAATAGTGTTTTTGAATTCTTTCGTATTTCTATTTATAAAACCAAGCATTTTAAAAGATTTATTTACTATGATTTAGTTTAAACGATAAATCATTCTCAAAGTAGATAGCCAAATCCCTGATAGAATTTACTCTATCCAGAGAACGGTTATTAATTTGATATTGAAATATAATTGGATTTTTATTACGTGTAAAAGATATTACTTGGCACTTGCTAATATTTAGTGGAAGAAGATTTCGTTCACTCCATTGAAAACATGTATTAAGATTGGATTGTAGACTATTTGCATCATTAATTGATTTAATATCAAAGAATAATTTTGCATCATCAGCGAACAGCAAAATATTAATGTTGGTATCAACACATTTTGATGAATTTTAAACCGTAACATGTGTACATGGGATATTTTTAAAATTAGGTGCTAATTTTCCTAATTTCTATTTTGAATAGTGTATTCTAACTTTTTCGTACAACGCAACTGAAATTTGTTAACAGACCTGTTTTTACTTCGTCTATCCTCAATATGGTGAAATTACTGTAATTTTGGCCAAATAAAGTACCTTTTGAGGTAGATTTCCACCTTCCTTTACATAAAAACCCGTTTAACGGTCTAGGAAATATCGTGGATGTGATAAAGAAATTGATATATACATATACAGGGTGGCCCACAATGATTTGACAAATGAAATATACATAATATTTATTTATTTATCATATTGAAACTGCCTTTCGATATCATGCCTATCTCATCTCTGCACAAAAGGCAACTGTGAATAAAGTAAAATGTTTTTTGTAAAAATGAAACTCTATTGTTTATTAACATTTATTCTACTCTTTGTGGGTGTTTTGGCAGATACTGGTAATTATTTTATTTTCACAGTTATCAACTTAAAGTAGTAAAAATTCGAGAAAAAAATT